CCTTGTTGTATTATTCTATTATTTTGGTCTGTAAATAATTTTTTTCTAGAAAAAATGTATAGGATTTGATCTGATGTAATTAATAGAAAATTAGGTTTTTCTATTTTTTTTTCATTGGAAGAAATGCTAGTTTGCATGGAGGAGAAGAAGACTTTTCGTAGATACAAGATCTGCAATCTACGACTAACTTTTTTTTTGCAGGTTTGCAGCACCACGAATAGTCCTCTAATTCCTGTTTTGCTTATTCTTGATTGTCTTTTATCAACTTTAATTAATTTTCATATCATTTTCTTGAATTGGATCTTGATATAGACACTAAACCCTAGGCCGATTTGACCTAGATTGGACCAAACTGGTTGGACCAAATTTACGGTTCAATAGGGACTATTCTCAACCCTAATGTTTGATTATGGATCAGGGGTTTAATGGCCCATTGCAAGATGCAATTCGGCCCACCCTATAAAAACCCAGTTTTATTAAGGTAAAATTACATCAGCCCTAATTTAGCACAAATGCTATATGAGTCGAACTACTTTTTGCAATTCAGCCCATATACCTAGATAATGTTATTTGACAATGTTATAGGTTTTAATGGGCTGATAATGATTTAACCCAATTAATTTAGGGTTTTACATATGATTTAATTGATTGAATCAATTATATGATTGTTTCATGCATGTGATGTATGATGTGTGATGTGCTACGTACATAGACCATAAGCACTTGGCCCTTGTTAATTCGATAGTGGCTCTTCTTGCCATGGTGTCCTTAAGATCATTGGATGACCTCCCTTCTTGATGGGCTCCACATCATCTTCCTCCCCAAGAGGAATCATGCAGAACCCTAGCCCATTTAGGGCCCATCTGAATTTGACTTTAAGAAAATCAGTGGGAGCCACTTTGGTTTGACCTAAATGAGAAGGGTGTAATTACTCGTTCCCTCCAACAAAATATAAGTGCACGTGATAGTGACATTCATATGATGAACTCTCTAAAGGCCATCCATCATTAGCATGAAGATGGGCTTATTAGTAACGAGGAAATGCACCATAAAATTAGGTTATTCATTTGCTTGTGAGTTTGTTGGATTGTTTCATAAGATGATAGGGTATCATAGACCGATGTGGGAGGGAGCTATCCTAAAATAGAAGACTCTCTCACGATACATTAGCGTTCAATATAATGGGTAAGCACTTACTAGACAGAAATGTTTAACCTAAAATGGATGAGGCTAAAGGAAAAGCTCATAAGATGAGTGGATATGATCCTTCATAAAAGGTGGTGGGGTTATGCAGCTGAAACAGTTGGCTTCATGCACTGTATGTGGTTTCCCACATTTCCAGAGACATAATCGCAGTCTCCGTCATTAAGATGGGAAGGAAATTTCAAAAATGAATAAATGAAAATGGAATATAGATTAAAAGTCATTTCTATGTAAATAACATGAATCAATTTAGGTCGTGGACTAATAATCTGTTTTGCCTTTATCAAAAGTGGCAAACGGACAGTTCGCCAAATTGTTGGACGATAACAAGCTTAAGGGCCAAACTATGTTGACTGGTTCTGTAACCTTACGCTGGTATTAACGTCCAAGAAATTGGACAAAGTTGCTAAAAACCCTGCTCCAGATCGTCCAAGTGATAAGGCTCTTGCCCGGTGTTATATCATATCCTCCTTAGACAATTTGATACAGAGACAGTTCAATCAGATTGAAGTGTCCAAGGATATCTTAGATAGCCTGAGGACCATGTATGAAGAACATAATCGTTCTATTTGACAGAAGGTCTTAAAGTTGTTTATGACTACAAAAATGACTAAGAGCCAATAGGTTCATGACCATTGTCTAAAAATGATAGGTTATATCAATGAATTGGAGGCTCTCGATTCAAGGCTTTATCATGACACAGAATTTGATGCCATCCTAAATTCCCTTCCTCCCTCCTTCAATCATCTCATCTTGAACTACAACATGAACAAGCTAAATGTTATCCTTCAGGAACTCAGCAATATGTTGCAGAGGGTTGAAGAACTAATAAGGAAGGATAAGCCGATAGCCATGCTTGTTTAAGGTGGCAATTTGGGTAAGAAAAAGCGAAAGGCGAAAAGGAAGCATCAGAAGAAGGGTAGCAAGCCTAAAAAACAAAAAAAGGACAAGACATCGAATGCTTGTCAGGAACTTAATTCATCTTGAACTACAACATGAACAAGCTAAATGTTATCCTTCAGGAACTCAGCAATATGTTGCAGAGGGCTGAAGAACTAATAATGAAGGATAAGCCGATAGCCATGCTTGTTTAAGGTGGAAATTTGAGCAAGAAAAAGCAGAAGGCGAAAATGAAGCATCAGAAGAAGGTTAGCAAGCCTAAAAAGCAAAAGAATGACAAGACATCGGATGCCTGTCACTTTTGCAAACAAACCGGCCACGGGAAGAAGAATTGTCCTCTGTACCTGGAGTTTAATAAACAAGGTAATTTCGAATATTTTGTCATAGAGACCAATTTGTTGGTCACTTCTGCTTCCTGGTGTATTGACTCTGGGACTTCTACTCATGCATGTTACACATTACAGGGGTTCAAGGCAAGCAGAAGGTTGAGCGACGGAGAACTAACTCTCTACTTGGGGATTTCTGCAACAGTTGCAGCTACAGCTATAGGAACTGTAGAGTTATTTTTTAGAGACTGAATTATTGTACTTAAAGATTGTCTTTATGTACCAAATTTAAGAAGAAATTTGATTTCTGTCTCAAAGTTGTGTTTGGATGGTTATTCTATTTTATTCAGTAATGTAATTACTATCAAACAGAATAACAAATTTCTCACTTACGGAGAACTCGAGAATGGTCTTTATGCTCTCCATCCTTCTCTGGAAACAAACATAATTGAAACTATGTTGATACTAAACCCCAAGAAGATAACGCGTGAAACAATTAATCCCATGTGTTTGTGGCATTACCGACTTGGCCACATTAACATAGATCGTATCACAATGTTGGTAAATGATGGTCTTTTGGATTTTCTAACTCTAGAAGATCTTCCAACCTGGGAAACTTGCCTTCAGGATAACATGACGAAACGACCATTTACAGGTAAGCCTGAAAGATCTACAGGCACGCTTGACCTAATACATATTGATGTATGTGGTCCCCTGAATGTTAGGACACGTAACTAGTACATTTATTTCATAACATTTACCAATGATCATTCATGGTATGGTTACGTGTACGTAATGAGACATAAGTCTGAATCCTTTGAAATGTTCAAAGAGTTCAAGCAAGAGGTCGAGAAACAGTTGGTGAGACAGATCAAAACCCTTCGATCAGATCAATGATGTGAATATCTCTCCGACGAATTTAGGAACTACCTAAGGGACCTGGTGTACAATTCCATGTTACCCCTGTCAGCACTCGATTTTTGCTCGGTTTGCCGCCTGAACCTCCAAGGTACCACAAACATCCGACCAGACCCTTTCGATCCCTTCGAAACACCCAAAAACCCAAAATCCCAACTTTCACCCTGAAATCCCTCATATTCACCATTAAACATACCCGATACCTATCCTATGGCCCCAATCGACCCCCTACTTACACCTCAACCCCTAGATCTGACCCCACCATCAAACCCAGGACCTCCCAAGACACCCACATGTAAAATTTCATCCCAAAACACCTCTACTTACCCCTCCATCGCACCAAGATTCCATTTCAAGGTCCCAAATTAACCGAATCAAGCCCTTTCCAGATCTGCCTAATTTGGGCCCAGTTGGGTCAATCTGACCCCACTTATCAACCCAGAATCCCCAAAAACCCCACCTTACCAAATTTTAGCCAAAAATACCCATATTTACCTTTCCATCTAAAAAGATTTCATTTCGACCAATCTTGTTAGCCCATAGACATAAAACCCCCTCTGTAGTCAAACCCATGTCAACCCTCCATTTTTTGACCCAAAAATCCCCACCACTGAACTAGAAACCCGGCTTGACCTCCTTAAACCCAATTCGACCCTTTTCCCCAAAATTACAAAAATACCCCTCCCACCAAACTACCAAAATGCCATTGACCAAAGTTTCCCAAATTACCCTAACCAAAATTACCAAAATACCCCTCCTTCCAAAATTCTCCTAAATTCCCAAAATACCCTCAACCCATAATTACCAGAACTACCCTATTGACCAATTCCCAAATTACCCCCGATTTAATTCCCAAAAATGCCCCTCCTAAAACCTTCCTAAATCACCAAAATACCCTTGACCAAAATTACCTGAATTACCCCTTTGTCTAATTCTAAAATTACCCCTAACTTAATTCCCAAAAATGCCCCTCCTAAAATTCCCCTAAACACCCTTGACCCAAATTAGCTAAACTACCCTCTGACCTAGATCCCAAAATACCCTATGACTTGATATTTACCAAAATCCACTTGTCCATCTTATTCCCAAAATACCCCCTCCAAATTACCAAAATACCCCATTTTCCAAAATTCCTAGAATACCCTTCCTACTAAAATTACCAAAATACCCTTGATTAGAATTCCCAGAATACCCTCCTATCAAAATTACACAAACCCCTCTTACCAAATTACCAAAATACCCCACTTCCCAAAATTACCAAAATACCCTTCTTCCAAAATCACCAAAATGCCCTTGACCAAAATTACCTGAGCTACCCTTTTAACCAAAATTACCAAAATACCCCTCCTACCAATTATCCAAATTCCCTTGATCAATATTCAAATTATCCCTTTACCCAAATCAACTCTTTTTCCAAAATGCCCTTACCCAAAATTACCAAAGTATCCTTTTTCCAAATTCCTAAATTACCCTCCATCCCAAATTCCCGAATTGCCCTTCTTACCAAAATTATAAAGTTACCCTTTGGACCCCAAATTTCCTTTGAACCAAAGTTGCTGAAACCCCCTTCTATTTGGAAAGATGACAATACCTCCCCTCCTTCCTATTTATAAATAGGAGGCATCATTCCCAAGAAAAAGGGAGGTGAGAGGGGAGAGTTTTGATGAGGACAGGGGTCAGGAACAAGAGAAGAGGGGCGAGTGGGATGAAATTTGAGAAAGGGCGAGAATTGAGAGCTTGGAGAGAAAGAAGAGGGAAAGCTGAGTTTCGAGAGGAAAATAGAGTACTCGTATGAGAGGGTTTCTAAGGAAGTTTGGCTGAGAGAAAAAAATGGAGAGAGATGGGAGAAAGATCTGAGAGAGGATAGAGAGAAGAAAACGAACAAGGACTTTGCGAAGAGCGCAATAGGTAAAGAAGGGTTTGAATGAGAAGGGAATACGACTTAAAGGTTCAACACCCACCTCTCCTTCACTTTCTCATCCAGCATCAAGAGGGCGTCCTAGTAACATTTGGCGGCCCAAGAACCCTTGTTCCCTGCTGTCTTCATCGCATCTTGCATCTACAGCTCAGATGCCACCATATTCTGATTCGAAATTCAACTGAAGCATCTACATCCGAAAGTTGTTTTTAACAAAAAAAAAAAAAAATAGAGCCTCTATTGCAGCATCATCGATCCAATTCACAGACCACAAGAGGTAAAATCTGTTACCTCATCTTCTTTCCTCTGTTGGAAGTAGTCCAGTCATAGTTCATCTTTTTTATCTGTTTTACTTATTGGCTTATTTATTTCTTTCTTTGCCATTTGCTTGTTTCCGGGATTGTATTGTTGTTTTAGTTCTGCAATCGGAGTGTCCTCCTGTAACCGAGAAGCTTAGTTTGCTTCTTCACTCTTCATACCAGTTTGCTGAGCCCGAAGGTGGGGGTTTTGATAGAAAAGGGGTGAGGGATCCCTCATCCTTTTGCTCAGACCCCTGTACCCAAAAGGGACTGGCATGCAAGTGAAGAAAGAAACGCTATGCTCCTTCGAGTTGCTAGAGAACCCGATTCTTAGATATTTTGTAAGCCGAAGAGGGAATTACAGTATTCACACCGAGCAGAGAGAAGGGTGCCTAACCCCTTCCCTCTCTCTTTCTCAACTTACTTGGAATAGCCTTGTCTCGGACGAGCAGTATGGAGTCACTAATAATTCCGAAACACTTTTACCGATTTTAATTCCGGGAGACCCATCACTCCCCATTATTGATTTCTGATGGGTGGCGATTGTTTATTTGGCCATGAAGTGAACTATCGGTTTTCCCGATATTCACAACCCCATATAAGTAAGAATTTTCTATGGGATAACACAACTAAGGAGATTTGGGATGGAGTAACAGAAACTTATTCACAGAGTGAGAATGTTGTTAGAGCCTACCAGTTGAGAAACCAGGTGATTATTACTAAGTAGGGAAATAAGTCTGTTGCAATTTATTTTTTAGCCCTCAAAACCTTATGGAAGGAGATAGATCATTTGGACATTATGGTTTGAGAAAGTAGCAAAGATGCAGCAACTTATTAGAAGTTGGTAGAGAAGAATAGGGTATTTGAGTTTCTATTAGGACTTAACCCTGAATGTGATTAGCACAGTGAAGCCTAAGCCAAGTGGGGATAAGATTGGAAATGAACCGAAAAAGGGGGACAAGAACGACCTGATTTGTGACTATTGTAAGAAACATAAATGTACCAGAGATGTCTATTGGAAGCTTTACCCACAACTTATACCGAGTCGGCTTAGAAACAATAAGGGAAATATGAATATAGCAGTGACTAATTTTTATTAGGACCACCTACTACAACTTCTCTAGAGTCTACTGCAACAATTGTAGTGATGGATAAATTGGAGGGATATGGATAGCTTTTTAGTCAGAGGGATATAACCAGTTCCAATTCATTATCAAGTAGACAACAAGGTGCAAGTGGATCGGGAGGTAGTCATTCTACGTTTGCACATACAGGTACTTCACATGCCACTTCACATGCCAATATTACCATCATCTTCTCCCCATACCACCTCTGCTTTGGTAGAGATAGAGTTTTCATAGTTGATAGGTCGCATGTTCCCATTGTTGGGAAAGGGTCTGTTAAGATAACCGATACCATTACCCTACCTTCTATCCTTCATGTCCCAAGACTGAGCATTAATTTTTTTTATATTAGTAGCTTGACAAACAATTTGAATTATTCAGTGATTTTTTTTCTCTTAAACAATGTATTTTGCAAGATCTTAAATCAAAGAAGGAGATTTGGAGTGGTCATGAGGTGAATGGAATATATCTTCTTGATGGGCTTTCCAATCATCAGTCATCATGTCAGCGAGAACAATGAATCAGTGATTTTTTTCTCTTAAATAATGTATTTTGCAAGATCTGAAATCAAAGAAGGAGATTTGGAGTGGTCGTGAGGTGAATGGAATCTATCTTCTTGATGGGCTTCCCAATCATCAGTCATCATGTCAGCGAGAACAATGAATCAGAGTTAATGGGCCAAATTATGTTTTGGCATAATTAGTTAGGGCATTTGTCTTTCTTTGCATTTTTTGTTTCCAAAGTTGTTTAAATATGTTAGTTGTCCAACTTAGAGTGTGAGGGTTGTCAATTTGGAAAACATTATAGGCATTCCTTTAAAAAAAGCAATAAAAGATGTTCTTCTATTTTTTATATTGTTCATACGGATGTGCAAGGACCATATCATATTTCTTTGATGGGTAGTTATTGTTTTTTTTTATGTTTGTAGATGATTATTCTCAATGCTCTTGATGAGATCTTGTGATGAGGTACATTCTTTGGTTTAATAGTTCTATCAGATGGCATTAACGCAATTTGAGGTATGAGTAAAAGTGTTTAGATCAAATATTAGTAGGGAATACTTTGAGAAAAAAACTTGGCACCATACCTATAGAGCATGGAGTAGTCCACCAAAGCATTTGTACATACACTCTACAACAAAGTGGTGTAATAGAAAGGAAAAGCAAATATATTGTGGAACTAACAAGAAGCATGACAATGAGCTCTGTAATTTCAATTCATATTTGGGGTGATGTAGCCCTTATAACAGTCTTTTTGATTAGTTGGGTACCTTCTCGTGTTTTTGGATACAACACTCCGTTTAACTTTCTTTTTCTTAAGGGGGAGATATTTCATATTCCTTTAAAGGTTTTTGGATGTGTATTCTATTTCCATATTCTTGGTCCTCACCGCTTAAAGCTGGATCCTAAGGGAAAGAAGTGTGTCTTCTTTGGGTATGCAGGACATTGGAAGGGGTCTTGTTGTTATGATATAATCTCCAGGAATTGGTATATTACTACAGAAGTCACCTTTTTTAATCCACACCTTCTTTCTCAAGAAGTTCTTCTCAGGGGGAGTGTTTTGGGGAAGTAAGTGAGCAATCTATACCACTTCCTGTTCCACCCGCCTATGACAACACATGGAGGTTGATTCCACATCAAAGGAACCGACGTCACTCCCAATCAGCTCATTGGAGATTCCAGGTATGCCTCTTGTTTCCTCTAATGGTTTAGTTACTATTAATACTACTACCCTTGCTCTTAACACCATTGTAGATGACTTAGATCTCCCTATTGCACTCCGAAAAGGAAAGAGGAAGTGTACTGGTCATTTTATCTTACACTATCTTTAATACAGTGGATTATCTCCTTCCTACCAAGACTTCCTTCCCCCCTCAACTCTGTGTATATACCTAGGAATGTTAATAAGACTCTTTTCAAACCTGAGTACAAAATAACTATGCAAGAGGAAATGAAAGCATTAATTAAAAATTAGACACGGGAGATTATGGATTTACTTGATAGCAAGGATAATGGTATAAGGTGAGGTTTGTTGCAAAATGGGACACTTAGACTTATGGCATAGATTACTTGGAGACTTTTGCACCAGTGGAAAAGATAAATTCAGTCCAGATTCTTCTATTAATAACAACTACATACTCTTTGCTCCTCTTCCAACTTGATGTGGATAATGCTTTTCTTAATGGAGACCTGCAATAAGAGGTGTACATGGATCTTCCAACTGGTTTTACAGTTGTGGCTAAAGAAATGGTATGTAGATTAAAGAAGTCTTTATATGGTTTGAAACAATCACTCATAGCTTAGTTTGATAGATTTAGAAGTGCATTGATTGTATTTGGCTATATTCAAACACAATCTAATCATACTCCGTTTGTGAAAATGAGAGAGCATTGATGTCAATACTAATAATGTATGTGGATGATGTAGTCACGAAAAATGATCTGAGTGAGATTGATACCTTGAAGAAGAACCTACACAAAGAGTTTGAGATTAAGGATCTTGGGGAGTTGACGTATTTTCTGGGCATTGAGGTGGCAAGATCCAAGCATGGGATTTTCATCTCATAGAGGAGGTATATTTTAGACTTGGTATAGGAGAAGGAAAAACTTGGGGCAAGGGCAATTGATTCATCTATTGATCAAAACCATAGAGTAAATGCTTCAGAAGGTGAGCTAGTGAATGATGTTGGAAGGTATTAGAGATTGGTGGGCCAGTTTCTATACTTATGTATGACACGACAATATATCTTTTATGCAGTGAGTGTGGTGAGTCAATATATGCATGCCCCACGATTTCAGCATTGGAAGGTCATTAACAGGATATTTTCCTATTTGAAAGGAAACCCAAGTAGAGGCATACTATTTATTGAATATGGGCATTTGAAGGTAGAAGCTTGCGTAGATGTTGATTGGGCAGAGTGCCTACATGACAAGATATCTACATTAGAAGTTTGCATTCTTGTTGAAGGTAACCTAGTTTTATTGAAGAGTAAGAAACAATAAGTTATAGCAAGGTTAAGTGTAGAAGTTGAATACAAAGTCATAACACAATGTGTTTTAGAGCTCCTCCAGGTCGAATCCATGTTAAGGGAGATTGGAGTTGAAGCCGAAGAACCTATGATGTCATACTGTGGCAATCAATCAACAATTAACATTGTGCATAACCCAATTCAACATGATAAGATGAAGCATATAGTGTGTTTACCATATGTTGCATCTGACTTGCAACTTATTGATGTTCAAGGTGTTGCAAGAAACAAACTAGAGGATGGTCTATGCAAGATGGGAATGTGTGACATCTATTCTCGACTTGAGGAGAGTGTTGAGTTTTGGGCTAATAACATTTGTTTTTGTTTACAAAGCATAGTTAGAGAGTTATTGGGCCCAAGGCCCATTAGTTTATGTTTTCAACTAAGACAGTTTACTTAAGTCGTGTTTGGCAAGTCTTTCTACGCGAGCTTCGGGCTGTTTAGAAGTCCGGAAGCCTGAATTCTGGGCTTTTCCCATTTGGCAATAGAAAGATTTATTCGGGAAAAGCTCCAACCCATAAAAGACGCCAGAAGCCCGAATTTGGGCTTTTTCAGGAAGCTTCAAATGAAGCTTTTACAGTCTTTAGTGCCCCGTCTTCTTCAAACGTGTGGTACAATGCACACGCTTGGGAGAAAATGGGTTATCTTTCCACAAAAACTATTTGAATGTGTATGTGGGGCCCACATTAGGTATTATGTGGGACCCACCTTGTAAAATGTATATGGGCCCCACATGCATATCCACTAATGGAATGTGGGGCCCACCTTGTAAAATGTATGTGGGCCCTATATACATGTCCACACATGGACCCTACATGCATGTCCACCAATGGTATGTGGGGCCGACCTTGCATAATATATATGGGCCCCACATACATGTCCACCAATTATATGTGGGGCCAACCTTGAAAAATGTATGTGGGCCCCATATACATGTCCACACATGGACCCACATGCATCTCCATCAATGGCATGTGGGGCCCACCTTGTAAAATGTAAATGGCCCCACATACATGTCCACAGATGGACCACACATGCATGGCCACCAATGGTATGTCAGGCCCACCTTGTAAAATGTACGTGGGCCACACATGCATGTCAATACATGGACCCCACATGCATGATCCACCAATGGTATGGTGTGCCCACCTTGTAAAATGTGCATGGGCCCCACATACATGTCCACAAATGGTATGTGGGCCCCACATGTTAAATGAAAGGTTTGTTGGCCCACACAAGACATTCACATTACCAAACAGTCTTCTAGCTTTTATGGTCTTTTGTGAGATCTATGTAAAATATTTTAACTAAACAGTCTTTGGTCTTCCAAGATCTATTTGCGAAATCTCACATTGTCTTTTAATCATCAGATCTTATAACAGATCTTCTGAAAAATACTTGCCAAACAGGCACTTAGTTTTTACAATTAGCAAACTTACTAAGGGCATATTTGTCTTTATATTCAGTTTTGTTTGTGAGTATATAAGCTAATGAAAGGGGCAAGCCAGACCTGATTTTTAGCTTCTCCCCATTCTCTACAACTTTTCTCCTCTTTTTTTCTCTACACAAACCTTCTTTTTCTTTCTTTCTTTCTTTCTCTCCTTCACAGATTTTAAATCAAAACAGAATTTTTGCACTTTTCTACTTAACTCCTACAACTTCTTTCTCTCTTTTTAAAGATGGAGAAAATCACCTAGCTTTTGTGTTTAGGCCCGGCCCACGTCAGCTCCACAAATTTTAGGTTAGGCCTAGGACTTATGCTTCAAGCCCAACCCACATATATTTAAACATACACATGTATAATGTATATATATGTACACGTGTTATATTATATATTATATAAAATAAATTTATATGCATGTTATATGTCATTTATAAAATATTTATTATAAATTTATATGTCATTAATTATAAATTTATAAAATTTTTATTATAAAATATTATATATATGGAATATTTTATATTTAAGACATAGGCCTGGCTTAGGCCCATGTAGACTTGGGCTTGGACGTATGTTTCTAGCCTAGAACCCTGGGTTGGGTTGGGTCAGGCCTAGGCTCGAGCCTAGGCTATAGCCCTTATCATATGTGCAAAGCCTGGCCCATGATCACTCCTAGTTATAATTTAGAAACAAGCCATCCTAAAGGCTTTTGTAGTTGTGATTGTTCTAAGAGTAGGAGCATGTGTAATTAGTTTTTGAAATTATAGGGTATATATAACTAGTTTCTTGAAACTGTGTAATTAACCCTTAAAGGATTTATGAAAACCTGCCATTTAGTGTGTTCTGTCATGGTCAAGCCATGATATATTGCATTTTGAAATGCCTCCACGATCTTCTAAGGTGTTCGAATGATCCAAAGCATAGTATGTTTTACCCAATCTATCCCACATTTTTTTATTATGTATATTATTAAAAATAAAATATTATTTATTCCTTGTTATATAATTAATATTTAATGTTATGTATATTTTTTTAATTTAATATGTGTATATTTCATTACTTTTGCATTAAATATGTGTATATTTTATTAATAATGATTTTTATATAAAATTAATACTCTTGGCAGCCTAATGAATTTTTTTATTTTTATAAATTTTATTAATTTTTAAATTGTATTTAAATTTAGACATATTAATAACTTCCTAAATTACTCTTAGCAATTTACTAATATTTTTTATTATGTATATTACTAAAAAAAATATTGTTTTTTTCTTATTAACAACATAGATCACCTTACATGTTGCTTGGCCTGTCATTGATACCCGAAAATCCAAGGCCCATCTGACATCCGATCCAATTATATTATAATATTTATTAATTTTAATATATAAATTTTATATCAAGTCCAATTGGATTTCATATCATATTCGGATGCAGGTTTTCAATAGTCAAATCGAATCCAGATTTTGCTACATCAGATCCAAGTCCAATTCAATTACAACCATGCATGTTGTAGGTGAGATGCATGGAATAAAAACACAAGGTGTGGACTAAAATGCACCACACCTTGTAGAATGCCTATTGGGGTGTAGTGTGGTTCAATCCACACTTTTGTCCACGATTCAAAACAACTAACGTGTTGGGGAGTGGTGTTGATGAGAACACACTACCCAATTTATCATCTACGCTACAGAAAACCCCCTTAATACTCGTCTTCTTCACCTGCCTATCCAAAACAGATTAAATGAAATCCAAAAATTTGAAACTTTCAAATAACTATCATTTCAACTTCTAATTTTTTTATATCATTTATAATCAACCCTGCCACATTTTAAACATTCGCAGGTTGTTTATTGGATGGAAATCTACTAATGAAACAATGGAAGTGGATTAACATTGCTAAGCAATATAATCATATTCTGAGGAGATAATTAAGCTAATTTTCAAGAGAGGCATCTACTTCTTAAGTTGTAGGAACTTAAGAATGGTTGGTGTTGGTGTTGGTGTTGGTGGAGAATGCTATGAGCGGCAGATGGTTTCCACTCGATGGAGAAACCTCAAGCATGTTCTACAGAAAAAGTGTGAACCCTTCCTACCTACAAATCTACATTCACGGCCCCCAGTTCCTACCCACTCCTTATCCTGGTTCATTGTCACGTTGGGGATCAACTCTTCTCTCCGTTACCTAGAAATCCCCCAATTCCTACCCATGCCCCTATTCATTCCATATTATCAAAAGGGTAGATCTGTAGAAGGAATCTATGTGGCGTCTAGTCCATGTGCAGTCAAGACAAGCCTAATGTGTGTAAAGGCCATGTGTTACCCGATGAGATGGCTCCACTAAGTTTAGTGGCACTGGATTATGGCCTCATTGTGCATGGTCGGGGCTCTGTGGTGGCTCTTACCAATTCATGGGAGGTGTCGCTTATATGCCAAAGGGGGAAGACCATGATGTGAGGCAACTATGACGCTGATGATGCGAGAAACATGTTGTGTCAATAATGTAAGGAAACCATTGGGCCGGAGCACACCCGTGCGTTGTGGGCAACGAGGTAGCTCAATTAGCTTAGACACGGAGCTGGTGTGGTGAAAGGTCATGATTGGGTCAGACCCATATGCCAAGCCTCCCTTCAATGTGCATGGCGCGGTGCCGATCTATGCATTGTCTCCATGAACATGTGTGTACCCATGAGAAATCCTGAAAGTCATGGTAGCCATGCTAGCCGCATTAACCAAAGCCACCCCTCAATAGATGTTGGTTTAAAAGTGCCAGGGTTAGACACCCAAGGAAGGACTCACTCTTTTTCTGTAGAAAATGCTTGAGATTTCTCCATCGAGTGGAAACCATCTCTCGCTCGTAGCATTCTCCACCAACACCAACACAATAGACTTGTCCATTGATAAGAACCAACACATAACCCTTACACATATTAGGCTTGTCCTGACCGCACATGGCCTGGACGCCGCATGAGTTCCTTCCGCGGCAGATCTACCCCGTAACAACATGACCTTATGGAATTGACCTTCGTCTGCTGACATCAGATGCGTGCCTCTGCCTCCATCCCCCTACGTACTAATATTCCAAAGTGAAAGACAGTGTTGAACCAGTTCGAGGGCGTAAATAATATTCCGGATATGGAAACGCAATTGTAGATCAGCAAGGCTATTGCTATCAGATTGTTGTATTCGTATTGGTGATGGGAAAGGCCGAAAGGGTACACGGATTTGGGGTGATCTGCGGGTCCCGTTTCTTCCTTGATTTACCGTTCACAGACCAGATTGGCATGATTCGGATCGGGTTTAGTGTAGCCGACTTGATTATAGAAAATGGATGGAATTTTTTGTTAGGGAAACCGATCAGTATCCTGTATTTTAGGTCGAGTGATAATTTAGTTTCTGAACTTTAAAATGCAATAATCCAATATTTGAATTTTTAAAATGCAACAATCTAGTACTTACCGTTAATGGACCATCAATTATGTATATCATGTGACCTCTAGGGGTGTAAACGATATCCAGTTATTCGATATCCAACCTAATTGAATCGAATTCGAATGGTCGGATAAATTAAATAGTCGAATTCAAATTTATACATTTTACCGATTAATTTATCGAATTCATATTGATCTGATTCGATAAAAATCCGAATTCACTTAATAATATACATTTAATATATATTAATAAATATAATAAAATATAAAGGTTAAAGTTAAAGAGGGGTCATGTTGAGTCCATCATAAAAAAATCTGACAACGGCAATTATATCACCTATGCATGTTGTCATTCTCGATAACCCCTCCCCTCCTCTCTCTCTCTCGTCCATTCGTCCTTTTCTCTTCCACTTTTATTTTATTTTTTATAGAAACCATATATCCAAACCAGTTTCCTCTCCCGTTTTTAATTTCTTCCTTTTATCTTCCTCTCTCTCCCTTCGTCTTTTCTATTCACACTCCTCTTCTCTTCCTCTCCCTGTCTTTTTTATTCCTAATCTTTAGAAACTATGAGCACCTATGAAAGCATTAGTGATAGCAGTCGAGCATCGGTCACTGGCCACTACCATCTCCTTTGCCATTGCTTAAGCTCAAGCTCAATGCCTCAAGGCCCTCAACCGTATAACGTCACCAGTTATTGTGTTGCAACAGTTTAGCATCACCAGACAACACTACTCACTACCATTGCATTTGCACCATCGGGAACCCACAACTGTTGTTGTCACAGACTTGGCCCACCATCGAGAACCCGCGACTATCACCATCAATCTCCTGCCGCTTTTCTCAAGATAATCACTTGTTTTCCTTGCAAACTCGGTCATTTAAGATTCTAGGCCTCATACTGGTCGAATTCGAATCGAATCGAATATTCAACTTAATAATCAAATTTGAATCCAAATTTAAACAATCGATATCCGTCGGATATCGAATCAAATTCAAATGTTATTTTTCATAATCGGTTTCGAATTAGAATCTAGTCTAATTCAATACGAATTCGATCCGTTTACAGGCCTAGTGACCTCATGTGATATTTAAGATTTTTTGGAAAAAGATGAAACAGAGCCCAAGCTCTTTGTATGTAGTTGAAAGGGTGGGGGGACGAAAAAATGAGAAAACAAGAGGGAGAGGGAAGGGGAATCATAGTTCCTCAAGTCGAAAGCGCAATAAGAACTGGCACTGTAGTCTCTTCGATAAAATTTTGCCTAATTTCGGCGATTGTAGCAAGATTTCTCAACACCCCAACAACAAAGGCCTGAGAACCAAGTGTCCAAACCTGGCAAATTTCCAAAAGAGAAGAAATCCCACCTCTAGAGCAAATGGTTCTCGCATTCTCCTTGGAGAAACTGAGAGCTTGAAGGGTAATGCAAGCCTTCTCCTTTGCAAACCCACTTCCTAATTAAAGAACCCGAATCAAATGATTTAGTAGTAGAACCCCTTCGGCAATCACAACGTGCTTGCTAGAATCCACAACTGAAATCCTCAAAATCTCTGCAACATATTTCTCCTTGACCTCCATGGAGCTTGAATCGAGTAATTGAACAAGAACTGGAACCACACCCTTTGCGACGGTGATTAGGACGTTCTTATCATCCTCATGGAGCAACCCAAGCAAGGAATCCATGGCAACGTTCTTAGCCTCTGCGTTCCCAATCTGCAAATGTGTTATCAAGTTTCTAGCTTCGACTCAGACCAATTCACGCTTGGAAGTCGTCGTGGTGGCGCACCCAGGACTGGTGTTTGTGTCCTGAAGAACGCCACTACGAATCAAGAGCTCATAATCCCTGGTGTGCTGGTCGAGCTTGGCAGCGACTGAGTCGAGATCACTTTGGGTTCTGAGCTTGCCATCCGTCAAAGCGGAGATTCTGCAATTGTTAGCCAAGACGAGAGCATCGGTTATGGTTCGGGAGAGAGTGGGGTGGGGGAAAAGAGAGGGAATAGAGGGGCGGAGAGGAGGAAAGAGTGAGGAGAGACGAGATGATGAATAAGCAGTACTGCCTCTTGGTTCTGATTTTAGTGAATGGTTGATAAAAAAATTAGATGACAATTGAAAGGTATTTGTATATTTTTGCATGTCACTTAATAGTTGGTTAACAACAGGTACTAGCTTGTAGTATTTTGAAAGTTTAAAAATTGAATCGTCACATTTTAAAGTTCAAGGACCAAATTATCACTCGGGCCAAAATACAGGATACTGATCGGAAATTTTCCTTATTTTTATTTTGATCCCCACATTTGAAATTACCGTGTGAAAAAAAAAAAATTTGAAACATGCAACAAAATGGTTTCCAATTGTAGCGAGAGAATATTTCAGGAATCTGCAAAGCTGCTTGGAATAATAAATAATTTGTAGGAAAACAACCATAAAGTATGAAATAACCCGATTCCTCCTTTTTTCCGGCTGGGTGAACTCATTGCCTGGCCTCGCCGGCAACGGGAAAGACCAGAGCGCACCAGGTGTATCCTCCGGTCCACCTCTTACATGAACCCTCCAATCATATTTTGACACTGTTTTTTTGTTCATTTCAAAACTAACGGGGATTTAATGTTTTTTTCTTGAATGTCCTTGTTTTCAGCCATACTATTAAATGTAACCATGGATGACCATGATGGTAGTGGTATGAGAGAACCGAGAAGGAAATTACATGTGAATGGTTATAAAAGATTGGTAGACTGGATTTTCTACATTCAAAGGATTTGGAAAAGAATTAAAGAAGTAGGCGTTGGAGACCTCACATTATCTTTTCTCTCTCTCTCTCCGCAAACCTCACCTCCACAATGAGCAGGGCAAATCGTTCAATGCAATGAACAGAATTGCAGAGGTACTGAAAAACAAGGCTTTGGTTTGGTGGTTTTTGCACTGGCAGAGAACAGATAAACACTCGAAGAGAAAATCGAGATAAGGGAAGAAGAAGAAAGAGAGAGGAATGGGAGGGAGTCAGAGTTTGCAAAGGCTGCTCTTTATTTGGTGTTTGGCGTTAAATTCCCTCCTCTTCCATTAATTTTGAAATAACGATAAAGGCCTGGCAAAATAACGATAACCACCACAGCCTACTAAGACTCTAAGAGGAACAAATCGCTTGCCCACCATAAATTCCTCCTTCTATAATCTTTCTAAGCAAGTCTATATTTAGTTTTTGGTATTAAGCAAATCTATATATTTATGTTATCATAATTGCATCCTAAATTTAGGTTTTTTACCTAGGGCTATTGGGATATAAGGTATATAGAAAATGAATTTTCTTCATCAATTTTTGGGGCATTTTTTCCAAGGTAAATTTTAGACAAATACGGACAGGCTTATATACTTTTTTTAAGTCTATGCATTCACATTCGTTCATGAATTAGTATTAATTCCAAGCTGACACCCACCCTAATAATACTTTAAAAACTTCTGAATTTTGACCAGTCATTCTCCCTTTTTTTTTTCCTCAAGTGGATATAAATCATAAAAGAGGAAAATTCTCCAAAGTTAAAGATTCTATTGGAAAATTACCTTATTTACACAATCAATTAAGCTACTATTTGCCAAAATAAAAAAGAAAAAAGGTTAAGCAACTTTCCAACAAACTAACAAGGAGGATACGCTTATGACACAGTGGGAATTTGGTAAGAACACGTGAAAGAAAGAGAAATAAAAGCATCTGTCAGATCAAGAGATACTAAAGTAGGGCACAGAATATCTTGAAAGGGTACAGAATATCTAGAAATAACGGAAGCTAAGCGTGTGCGGACTGCGGAGGTGGGAAGGAAAGCTTGTGGAGGGGTGGGTGGTGGATCATGGAGATTTCAAATCAGCCCCCCCATGGATGTCGCCAACGCCACGCCAGAGTCGGGATTTGATTAACACGCGGCTTTTTAGCAATGGAATCCAGCCGCCCGCACATGGAGAAACGACAACACACAGCAAGTACGGGAGATACAGCACAACCGATGACTTTGGTTTTTTTCAAAACGAAAACATTGAATCATTTTGTTAATATATATATATATATATATAGCAACCACTGTTTCCTAATTACCCACTCCCTCCCCATTCCCAACCTGTAGAGGTTGTGTCGTTCTGAACAAATCCAAGCAGTTCTCAATTGCAAGCCCTCTTTTCCAGAATTTTTCATAGTATTCGGTGTAGGTGAAGCTTTTGTAGATGGCCGGGTGGTTATCGTCGATTAACCCCCCTATGGGTTCGATCACGGCTTCCGGTGATGGGCAGTAGAATGTCGGAACAGAGATTCTCTCCTTGTCGCAGTTTACGACAGCCCGATGGAGCACGCTTTTATAACGTCCATTACTGAGTACCTGAAGCATTAAAAAGACCAAAGAAAGTGGTGAGTGGTGACATTTAATTAGTAATCTAATCCCAGAAGTGGTGACCTCAAACTCAATACCCTGTGTGATGTGTGTCTAATAACATAAATCAATCAATATTGTTTTGTGTTATGTCGGTGAACAGGAGCCACAGTCCTGCCCATGAATAGGACGTACCGAGCGCCCATCCATCAGCTCATCGATTCCACCCATATATGAATTGCCCAGATTCACTTCCCACATGCATAAAAATCTCGGCGGTCCCATTCTCCCACAGGCTACAGTCCACCCGCCCAGAGGCCAGAAGCCAGAAGCAGAGAGAGCGTGGTCTATAATTGAGCAACGCAATCTAGGCCAGAGGCACCGGCATGGAGGAGTAAAATAGCGATCCAGTAGAGAAAAAGCAGGCATCTCAGAATCTGTTTCTGCGGATATTTCTTAGTAGTTTCTCCTTGAGTGTTGTTTAGCTGTTTTAGTTGTCTTTTCTTTATTAGGTGTGTGACTGTTGATAGTTGTTGTTTGAGCTCTGTTTCTGCGAAATGAATCTTCTTTCAATAAAAAAAGAAAAAAAGCAGTCTGTGCGTAATAATGTTTGTTACTGTGTTTGGCATTTAGCAGCTTGTTTTGCAGCATATGGGAGCTCGAGCCCAGATGACTACCATGTCCATGATCATGATGGCTCTGGTAGGTAAAATTGGGCTGTGGTCACCCAGTTGGTAATTTTGGCAGTACTCATTCAGCCAAAGTATGAGGACAGAACCAGAAGGCCATAATAATATGGTCCACGTATCATATTCCAAAGCAAAGTTTGATCATTGATAGCTTGATGCAATGCATGTTGGCCACTGGCATTACTACTTGCCTTTCCCTACCAAATAAAAAAGGCATGTGTCTGTGTCAGGACTCAGGAGGTAAAATCTCTGAATCTCTCATGGATTTGGACATGGACATCAGGATATGGACATGCCTTTTTCTGTCTCCTCTCTCTGTTCTCTGTCTGTCTCCTCTGCATGTGCCTGGTGTGGGACTTGGGATAGAATTCTTTTTCTTACCTGAATTTGGTCGCCAATGTTGATGATGAAGGTATTAGGGATGGGATTGACGGCTACCCACCGGCCGTTGTTGAGCAACTGCAAACCGGGCACATCATCTTGAAGAAGGATTGTGATTACATTAGGGTCAGAGTGAACTGGTAATCCATACGTAAGCTCTGGTTCTGGACACGTTGGGTAGTAATTAATGGCCATGTGTTGTCCTTGCTTCCCTAGTGCCTTTTCTATGCTCTCTCTCTCCAGCCCTAAGCTCTCCGAGATTGCTTCAAGCAATCTTAGTGCCAGCCCCCTCACTTTTGTACTGTAATTAGCCACCTCTTCTCTGTTTCATGTGACATGCATCCAGTGATAAGATCCCATTATTATATATTGATTAAACAATAAGATTCACTTTTCACCATCGAATACTGAAAAACAAAAACGTACAGAAAATGAACCAAATTAAAACAAGGAAATTAACCATTAAAAAAAAGGAGGGTTTTAATTACCTGAAACACGGCGGATTCGAAGGCCATTGCTCCAAGTAGTCCTCCAGAGGATAACAATGGAGTCTCAGGAAATCCCTCCAATTGGACACTTTTTCAGAGCTGATATTGAAACTAGTCGAGAGGCGGACCGATTTGGAAGGGTCATTCGAGTAGCTCTTCAACCTCTCGCTCTCTGGCAACCGGAAGAACTCCCTTGATACCCTTAGCATGTTATCGATCACATTCTGTGGTATCCCATGGTTCTTTATCTACAAACCAGCCAATTAAACAATAATTATAATTAAGCGGGGGAGGAAAAAGTAAACATATATTCAGGACGCCTACAGTACTACTCCCCATCCATGATTAATTCCATGTATGATGTATTTAGTAATTATAAGAATTAATATTATATATACCTGAAAGAAACCAGCATGTTCACATGCTTTTCCAATTTCTTTGACTATATCACACCGATTATTGTCGTCATCGAGGCCTTGAAGGTCGATGACAGGAATGGAACCCTCCGCTGGCTGAACAACGTGGAGGTTTGGACGATCGGAGATGGGCCTAACGTAATTCGAGGGAACATGGTCCACCATGGATGAAATATCTGCGACTAGTACCTTTTCTATAATAGCCATGGCGAATCTGCTACTGATCTCTCTCTCTCTCTCTCACTCACTCACACAGAGACTGAAAGATTGCAATGAATAATAACTCAGAGCCGAAGTAGTGTTGATATTTATAATGATTTAGTGCTAGGCGACGAGAGAAACTACGCCTGATTGAAAGCATTGTTTTTCTCTCTCTCCCTTATTCTAGCTAGGGCCGAAAAACTGATGGTGACTTTATCATACTCTAGATGTAGTACAAAAAATTAAAAGAAAAAAGACGTCAGATAATAATTGACAGGTGGACAATCCAGCTCACATCTGTTCACGTCTACCCATATAACCTTACATTACAGTTACACATGAAGAATATCTTATTATCTCTCTATATAATATTATGTAGGAGAGATATTCCCAGAGGTAATGTATTGTGCATAGAGGTGAGTAAAATTCTTGTGAGCAGGAGATCCGGAAGAAGGCCAAAATCTTGAGGTTGGTCGGGTCTAGACAGAAATAGCAGCTCATTCAGACCCGTTAATTACTTAAATTCCTTCCAACAAAAATATAACCAAGGGGAAAATGTTGGGATGCTGCTTCCATCATTACCACAAAAAATCTTCTTTCTGGTTCAATTGAAAAAGATGGGAATTTATATCACCACAAAGTCAATTAATACCAATCCTGAATTCCTAAATACTTGGCCCATACAAAGCCCCAGAAAATTAAATAGAATTCCCAACAACATTTGGCAAATGGATTTTTTTAAAAGGAGGAGGGAAGATGGAGAGAGAGAAACGAAGATGGGAATTGGGAAGGAAGTCGTACCCCTGCCCTTTCGAACTGTGTGGTGTGGGTTTTATGAAAAAGGTAAGAAAAGTCGGGGGTCATAGTCGTGTCATGGCTGGCATAAGCAAGCCTGTTATTGTAGACGTCATGCAGCTGATGTCATTTGTAACACGTCAATGAGAGCGGGATGTACGTAATAAACTCGTAGTCGCATATAATTGCCGACCACAACAATGCGTGTCATCATCTAACAGACTCTGAAACCTATACACAGCCACAGCCGTGATTCAATTTTCTAGATGAGATAATGTTATTGTTTCCTACGGCTGTTTCTCTCTCTCTCTACCATTTTATTGACATCATCGTATATTGAGATGACAGTAGTTGGGAAAGAGTTGAATCTTCTTTCTTCTGGAATTGCCCAAAAAATTAAGGTTTTTTAAAAATGGACAAATTGGTGACTGAAAATTGCCCAAAAAACTAAATAGCTGATACCTTTAAGCGGTTCGATCCGATCTAGAGTCAGTCTCTCAACGATTCTTAAATTTCCAACTAAAATTGAACTCTAGAGAAGAATCAAGATCGATTTAGAGCCAGAAATTAACGGTATCTTCCAACATTTCTTCATGATCTCTCTTTCAAATGCCAAAAAATCATTAAATCCACAGAATTTCCCTTCTGTTCATCATCTTCTATTTTTCCCCCTCTATTTTTAGGTTCCCATTCCCATAAACTACTGAGGAGAGGATCTATAAATCAGGCGATCAAATCGCTTAATCGCTTCATATTCTTGCTCCTAATTCCTCAGACCCTTCACCTGATTTTTCAATTTCACATCCTTCTACAATTTGTTTTCGTCATTCATCGATGCCTATACAATAATCACTATCTAAACTGAAGTTTCTTTTGCCGGTCATAAGAACGAACGAACGAACGAACGAACGATGTATCATCAGAGCCGCGGAAACAGGAGTTCCTTGGCTTCTTATATTAGGAAGAAGAAAAAGTTTTGTGAGTTAAAGAATCAGCAGGGTGCTCTAGAACTAACAGAAAGAAGCCCCCCGCCAAAGGCCAATGGATCAACTCCCAAGCTTCATGTACCGATTGCGTTGCGTCTTTTTGTTGTCCATTATTTTTTCTTTTATGCTTGTTAATTTTTCTTATAAATCCCATTATCTACATCTGTAGCAGGGGAGTTAACTGCTATGACCCTAGGGCTCAGGCTCTCTCTCTCTCTCTCAGCCTGTTTTCTTAACGAGTTGCGTAACGAGGGATGCCTTACAGTTTATTTTCTTCTTTGTCTCCTTTTTTATTTTCAGTAAGTTAGGAATTCAGTCATCTGTAAATCAAAGTTAAAGGGTATATTAGGTTTTAGAGCTCTTACTCAGTTCAATCAGGTCCTGTTAATAATATTAGCTCCAAATCTACTTCACAATGATCATTTCTCTGGCCTTTCTTCTATAGACTGAAAGAGTAATAGTATAGAGTTGAGGGTGGTGGAAGGTAAACTCAGAGATGGATGCTTGGAGAATTACAGTGATTAGAATTTCAGTATTTGGAGATATAAATGTGATCCTTGGTTACTTGAATTTAAAATCATCACTGTATGTCATAATAATCATTATCATCAATTTTCAGGTGATTGATTTGATCGATCAAACTCAACCATGAAAAATTATAAACCAATTTAATGAGGTAGACCAAGGATCTTTTACAGTCCTATTTAAATTGTGGGATACAGAAAGATTCAATTGTAGTGGCAAATAAAACAGGGGAGATGCACAGAAAAGAATTAGGATTGTCCTCACAGTGCTTGGGTATGTATTAATTAGGTCCATATTTTTTATTTTTCATTATGTAATAGCCAAAGGTTCTCCGCTCTCTTTTAAATCTGAATTAGTGGATGATAAGAAACTAAAATTCGCAAAGATTCTGCTCTACTGTGACATTAAAGGCTCCAAAATGGCCAAAGTGTTTAATAGCACTGATCCACTTCTCCTCTTGGTCCGGTCGAATGTCAATACATAGTGGAAGGGTTGGGCATTATTTTATTATTATTATTCCAAATTCTCAAGTTCATAATTATATGGATGTAGTTGAATAATGAGTAGAGAGTCTTCTCTGAGCCTGAGGTTCCCTCTCTTTTCTCTGTCTCTACGTTTTCAGAGGTTCTTTCCAAGAGACTCACCATCTCGGGGTTGTCCTCGGGTTCTTCTCTTCTTTCCATTTCAGTCATTCCTTTTCTTCCCACTCTCTTCCTTTCTTCTCTGTTTTCTTCTTCCCTTCTCCATTTCCTCCACTCATCTCTCTTCTTCTTGATTAACTCGGTCCAATCCTCCACTCTCTTTCGTTTCTTCTCCTTTTTTTCTTTTGCCTTGTGTTTTTTTTTTTTTTGTTCTTTTTTGTATGGATTTTAGTACAGGAGGTAGAGCATTGGGCGGTGGCCTTAATCGCTACTTTGAATTTCACCGCTAGTGACTGTTTCCTTATTTTACTTCACCGGCACTTACAGTTCCAGATGGATCCAGCTCCAATGTTAACAAATTCGGCGATTACAATTCTAGGTGGTTAACGTTTCAATTGATTCCAGTTCTGGCGACAACAGTTCCGACAGTTTCAGTTCTAGGTGGTTAAAGTTTCAGTTGATTCCACTTCCAGCGATAATAGTTCCAACAGTCTCAGTTTTGGGTGATTAAAGTTCCAGTTGGTTCTACTTCCCGTGATAACAATACCAACGATTAATTTTTCCGAGTGGTTAAACTTCCAATTGGTTCCAGTTTCGGCGATAACAGTTCCAACGGTTATGGTTCTAGACTTTAAAGTTCTAGTTAGTTCCAGTTCGTTAAAGTTCTGACGGTTATGGTTCCAGATGATTAAACTTATGATGAATCGCTACTGTATTTATTCCTCTCTTTTGATGGTTGGAGATGCGCTCATTTATCTCTTCTGTTGGTGATTCTGCCTCATCTTTTGTTTGTTGTATAAGTTTCTTCATTTTCTCCTTTATCCACTGTGAATATTTGGTTCTTTCTAGAGACTTGTATTCTTGCTTGGTAATGTTACTACTTCTCTATTTTCATACAATGTTTCTATATTCTCTTGCTTGGTACTGTGACCATTACTCTATATTCATACAAGTTTCATAGTTGAATGAAATATGATGTTTTGCCTTCAAAAAAAATAACAAACTCTTGGTGGCTTGTAGTAGGGGTGCAAGTCCAGTGGGCTACGTAGAGTTTAAGATCAACCTAGGCCCAACCCTAAGAATTAGGCCTAAGGGTCGAGCCTAGCCTAAGCCTGTAGTCAAGCCTAAACCATCCAACTCAGGCCCTAGCCCAAACCAACATTTGATGCATTAGGCTGGATTCGGGTAGATAAATCAGCCCATATTATATTAAAATGAATATAAATATATGTATATATGTATAAATGCATGCATATGATGTATAGTTTATCAAAAAAAATATGCATATATGTGTTTGTATATGCTTATATGTATATACATAGGTGGGTCTAGTTTGGGTTAAGATAAGGTAGTGTCGAGTTCAGACTATCTAAGGGCTAGGTCCAAGCCCGCTCAAGTTACACTCCAACTGGTAGGGGTGGAGACATACTAAGCTTTTCATGAGGCATTCAAGCTCGAGTTATGACTCAATCTGAACTGAGATTCAAGCTAAGGTCAAGCTATATATATATATATATATATATATATATATTCAATTTATTACATGTATATGATAAATAGTTTTTTGTATGTATAATTTAGTATATAATCTTTTCTATGTATAATTATTTTATAGTTTTTATATAATCTTGGATCATTATTAATCTTGATCTGAGTTGAGCTCAAACATGTGAGATTTTGAGTCAAGCTGAATTCAAGTTCATATTTCTAGCTCGAATTAAGCTCAAACATGAACTCAAGCCTCATGTTTTCTATTAATCCGAGTTCAAATAGCCAAACATTCAATTCTCATTTGGGTCAAATCCACCATTCCACCCCTAGTGGCTGGTATTTGATTTGTATTAAGAGATTCCATAGGCTAAAATGATTTCTGCAAGAGCAGTTAGAACAAAGTGCTTTTTAGGAAATGAAGGGAGGAAGTGGTTGAAATACAAGGTTATAGAATTAGAGTTTGGATAATCCAAGGAAGGTTGCATTTGGATAATCCTTAGGATTTGAGTTTTTTTTTAAGCACAAAAGCACAAAGTCCCAATTTAAGATTTTGTATTTTGGGTGCTTAAAATCAAGGTTTTAAAAATTGAAGAAATGGAACCGTTCTAGTTATCGGTTTCTGGGTCAGCAGTTCGACCATCTGGGTTGAATGGTTCAAATGGTTTGCATTAGGGCAATT